CTTTATCTATTAAATAATAAATACTTTATTTAAATAAATAATGGGTGATGTTATAGTAAATACATATTTATTTCTAAAAAAATAAAAAAACTAATTATTATTTTAAATTATTAGTCAAAATAAATAAATATAGTTTTTTATTAATAAATATTTAAATTATAAATAATTTTTTTATTTATAATGACTTTATCTATTAAATAATAAATACTTTATTTAAATAAATAATCGGTGGTGTTATAGGAATAACCTTTTTATATTACCTTTTTATACAACTTTCACATGTCATTAAAGGAGTTAATGCATTCAATATTACAGGTCTCACATGAATTAAAAGAACTAATTGTTTTAATGACATATCAGATTATACAAAAAAATGAGACAAAAAAGTTGTACAAAAATCATTTCTCATAAATAATTTAAAATAATAATTTATCCATATATTTTTCAAGGTAAATTTATCCGGAGGAGTTGGAGATCCTATCCTCTGTTTTTTTGGTAAAAATTTATTTTTAGCTTTTTATCTGAATAGATTTATAGGTTTTAATCCCTCATTTTATATTATGACACTTTAGCCTTTTATCTTAATAAGTTTATAAGTTTAGCCTATCACCTTATATTATGACACTTTTAACTCCTTACTTATACAAATTGAAAAAAATAGCCCTTACTTAACATCAGGTTATAATGTTTTGTTAGTTCTGTTAATTGATTGTTAACTCTGTTAACTGACTGTTAGTATCCATTAACATTCCGTTATAAAAAACATGAAATTTAAATTCAATTTTATTTGTTAGTTTCGTTAACGAAATATTAACGGAATGCTAAGAGTCAGTTAATAAAATTAATAGTCAACTAATAAAACTAATAAAAAGTTATAACCTGATTTTAAATAAAGGTTATTTTTTTCAATTCATATAGGTGAAGGGTTAAAAATGTCATAACATAAAGTGAGGGGCTAAAATCTACAAACTTATTAAGGTAAAGGGCTAACTGTGTTATAGTATAAGAAGAGGGGTTAAAATCTACAAATTTATTAAGATAAAGGGCTACAAGTATGTTTTACCCCGTTTTCCCGTACACGCTTATGCCGGAACTTGAATCCTTCTCAGTCAGGAAAAGCAATGGCGCCAAAAAAGACCCCTGCACCTCCCCCTCCGAATCCGATCGGTAAAATAAAAATGATAATGCCTTGAAATTTCCAGAAAA